GCTGGTCTCAAACTCCTAACTCCCAACCTCAGGTGATCCGCCTACTTCAGCCTCCCAAAGTGGTGGGTTTACTAGTGTGAGTCACTGCACCCAGCCTAGGGGGTTTAATACTTCTCAATGACCTCCAGAGAAATCCCATAAAATTGGGCCTCTTCTTTACAAATTTTGTTTTTGAATACCATTTTATTCTGATGTCTTGTTTTTATAATCCTTATCTCTGATGTTTCGTATTTTAAATTTTTCTTTAAAAAACACTATGCACGTTTAAAATTTGTCTTTAATTAAAAAAAAAAAACATAGACGGTTAGGCATGGCGGTTCACATCTGCAATCCCAACACTTCAGGAGGCTAAGTTGGGAGGACTGCTTGAGGCCATAAGAGGACCACTTGAGCCCAGAAGTTTGAGGTTGCACTAAGCCATGATCACATACTCACTCCAACCTGGGTAACAGTGTGAGACCTTGCCTCAAACCAAACCAAACCAAACAATATACAATATAAAATTTACAAACAATTGTAAATTTTTACAATTATTTTTTTTTGAGGCAGAGTCTTGCTCTGCTGCCCAGGCTGGAGTGCAGTGGTGCGATTTTGGCTCACCTCAACCTCCATGTCCCAGGTTCAAGCAATTCTCCTGCCTCAGCCTCCCAAGTAGCTGGGATTACAGGCATGTGCCACCACACTCAGCTAATTTTTGAATTTTTAGTAGAGATGGGGTTTCATCATTGTTGGTCAGGCTGGTCTCTAAGTCCTGACCTCAGGTGATCCACCTGACTCAGCCTCCCAAAGTGCTGGGATTATAGGTGTGAGCCACTGTGCCCGGCCTAAACTGGATTTTTAAATGATAAAATGGTGTTTCTCACTTTCTGGATGAAGTATAAACACAGAAGGGATCAATTATTTATGTGGTATTAGCTTAGACTAAGTCACAAATGCAAGACGTTTGTCACATTAGTATATAATTCCTAAAGCCCTCTTCATGGCATATGCTCTACTTTCTTTTAAAAGATTAGTGGAGAATGACAAATTTTTTTTTTTTTTTTTTTTTGAGATGGAGTTTTGCTCGTTACCCAGGCTGGAGTGCAATGGCGCGATCTCGGCTCACCGCAACCTCCGCCTCCTAGGTTCAGGCAATTCTCCTGCCTCAGCCTCCTGAGTAGCTGGGATTACAGGCACGTGCCACCGTGCCCAGTTAATTTTTTGTATTCTTAGTAGAGACGGGGTTTCCCTATGTTGACCAGGATGGTCTCGATCTCTTGACCTCGTGATTCACCCGCCTCGGCCTCCCAAAGTGCTGGGATTACAGGCTTGAGCCACCACGCCTGGCGACAAATGTGTTTTATACTAAGATTTATAAGAGATCTTTCAGATCTTTGAATCAAAGTCAAAAATCTAAAAATTGTGTTTTAATGACCTTAAGCGAAGTATACAAGTTATTTACATTAATAAAGGTTTAACTAAATACAAAGATATTGCTGACACATACTAAGGAAGCATTAGTTACATTTATGTCTCGCTTAATTAAAATGCCTCACTCTGGGATGAACACTGGCTTTAAGATGAAACTGACACACAAGGGCCAAATCATAAAACTGTGTCATGAGTTTTTTTGTTACAGACCTCTTGGAGAAATGTCAAAGTGAAGAAGGCTCTTTCTAGAAACTTCCACATGTGCACACACAATTTTAATACAATCTTGAAGGACTAGGTCATCCTGAGATCTATTGACTTCAGGGAATAATTGCTGTCACTGAACATTATCTGGGAAAATCACCTTAAAATATCATGCTTTTGGTATTCATATACCTTCCAAGAGATTAAGGATATCAGACAGTGGAGTTTTGAAAATGTAGGTGAATGCTCTGGTGCCCTCTGTTCATAGCTGCTTCAAGGCCACAGTGGCCTGAGTCTGCTAACTGTCCATCACTGCTCTGCAAACCTGAGACACCAGGCTCTGTACCATCCCATCCTTACCACCATCTCCACCTTTTATCTAGACTCTACAAGCTGCTTTGATCCTCTTTAGCCACTGTTTAGGCAAGTAGTCATCCAGTCTGCCCTTTAATACCTTCAGTGACATAAGTCAGGGCTTCAGAAGGCAGGCCATTCCAGTTTTCAGTACCTCTGAAAAATTACAAAGTTCTTTTCTAATTTGACTAGTCTGGTTTGTGGATGTTTTAAATGGTGCCCTACTGAATCTCTTCTCCATTTACTTGCCAAGAGGCAACAAAATCTAATTGTAAAAACCAGGAGCATCCCTTAGCTCTACCTTTACCACACAGGAAAGTTGGAGGCACTTTCTTTTTGGAATCCAAAATACAACAGGAATCAGTACTAGTTCAGTTCAAAAAAGAGTACGGTTTCCATATGCACAGCATTTCCTACCTTGTTGGGCTTCTTTTCTCTGCATAAAAAATTAAAAGTGCATCAGCATTAAAAGACTAAGATTATAGTCACTTAAATTAACATTTGTTTGCATAGTTTATTCTCTATATTTCTATTTATTACTGTGATTCTATAATAAACAGTCCTAAGCAATACAAAATAAATATAGACATCATTATTTATTCATTAGCTACAGCCTGGCTTTCGAGAACTACAAGTTGTCTCAGTCACCTTCAACAGCTCTTTTTTTTTCAATATAGAAAGTATCTCCTATTGAAGCCAATTTTTAATAAGGTCTATTTACCATAAAATAGAAAATCTATGATATAAATGCTTGTTTTCTTTGAAAACAAAATATATCAAAATATTTGCTATTTTCATTCTTAAATAATCCCATGCCAGTGCTGGATTTAAAAAGTTCATAAATATTTTGCAAACAGTGACTGATTTATTCAAATCTGATAAAAATACTGTTAACTGCCAGTTAAATGGCTAATCAATACAGCAAAATTTAATTTTCACTGGGTTACCTAGGAGGATATTCTTTCCTGAGCTGTATCTCAGGAAGCCAAACAATGCAGAGTCTGAAGGATGAGGCTACTTTGTAAGAGCTTCTATTTGGTCCTTTAATAATAAAACTTGCAACAGGAGTACAAAGCAGGTCCATCCAAATGAATTCTGCCTTATTTTGCGAACTGCATCATAGTGCTATTTCAGTACCTTTACATACAATAATCCTCTGGTAAGAAATAGATTTCCCGACAAATAAGCACCTCTCTATTTTCCCAGTGTAGCTTGAAAATGAATGCTGTGTTTAAAAAGAAAAAAAGACGAAAAAAACCCCCAGAAAGTCCCCAACCCCCCTTCACCAAAACAAAAAACAACTCCAGCCTAGAAAGACAATGCCACACCTACCACCTTATCACAACTGCATTATGTACAATGGGCACTTTAAAGCTCGGGAAGACAGTTCTCTGATAATTCTCTTAGGATAAAATCAACTGTGTGGCCGACTCTTCCAGATGAAAATGGTTTCATTCATCGCCAACAAAATGTGTAGTGCACACTTTTCATACACTTCATACAGTCTGTACGTATGTACGAAGTAAGATACCTTATTACTTCAAACTGGGTATCAGTCCAGTATATATTTATACTCAAGCAAATACTGTCAACTTCAAATTAGCTTAACAAAGTCTGCTTTTAACATAAAGTTCTTTCACTGGTTTGTTATTAATATAAAACCGAATGCTCGAAATGGCTTACCTCGAGCATGGACTACGGATACCAAGTTTGTCAAGCACTGCCCCACCCCTTATAAGAGTGGATGACTGGAACATTTTAATGCACTCCACCACGTAGAACAGCCACAGACACTTCACACTGGCGCCAGTAGTTACACATTTTCCAGCACAGATTTTTCTTAAATGTATTTTGTATCATCCTCTATGCCAAACATCACTAACATTCAGATATGCTGAAGAAATAGATAACCACGGACCCTGTAGTACTACCCTCCCAACACACTTTTCTCATTCTTTCATTGTTCTGTAGGTAAATGTTAAGAATTACTGAGTTCCCCGGCACACACACCCCCGACACCCGTAACTACGCAATTAAGTTTATAATTGGGAGGCTCGAATCATTACATTTGAAAATTCAGAGAGTAACAAAACAAAGTAAAATGCAAAGGGGGAACAGGTCTATCTGCTTAAATGCTGAAAGATTTTACATTTCTAAAAAGCATTTGCGGGATGCCGAGATTTCTCAAATGCGCCCCTCCCCCGCCTTTAGCCTCTTTCCTCCCTCAACCAATTCTGGGAAGTGGTTACTTGGACGCGGCTGGGATGCTACTCACCGAGTTTCTCCACCAGCTTAAGCATCACCCCTCCGATGTGCACCTCGCCGGTCACTCTCAGGGTGACATCGCGGTTCAGGTCCGTCACATGGACACTCAGTTCCCACGTCCCGTCCGCGTAGCAGCCATCTGGCATCCTTATCCCGTCCAGAGCCATGGCTCCTTCCTGCGAGCACGGAGGAAATGGCTTTCGTAAGCGTCACTCCCCCAAAGGAAGGCGAATCCCACCGAATTCGCAGCGTCTGCCACGGGCTGGGAGGTGGCGGAGGACCCGGGGCTTTCCGCGCAAACTCGGGAGGGCGGCGGCGGCGGCCCGGGCTGCGGGAGGACCCAGCGCCTCGCTCGCTCCGCTCGCCTCGCAGCGCGCTTCGGCCCAGGCGCCGCCCGCCCCACACCGTCCCCGCCTAGCGGACCGCGGCGGGCTTCACCTGCCAGCCGGCCCCGAGAACCGGCGCGTGCGGGCTCCGGGCTCCCCGCTCCCCTCCCCGCCGCGCCCCCTCGAGTCCCGGCGGGGTCCCGCTCCCTCACCGCGCGCTCCTCGCGCTCCGGGCCCGGGGCTCGCGCGGCAACAGGCGCGGGGCTGGCGGCTAGCGGGGCGGCGGCGACCGCGTCCGGCTTCTCCGCGGGCCAAGCGCTGCCTGCGGCCGCAGCTGCTAATGGAGTCCAGTCCTCGCCGCCCCTCGCCTGGCTCCCCGCGCTCCACCCTCTCCCCGCCCCCTCGGTCCAAGCCCGGCTGGGCTGGGCGCGCTGGCTCCCTCCTTCGCAGCCCGCACCGCCGCCCCGAGCGTGTCTGGCCGGCCTCGCCCCTGCCCCCGCCCTCCCGGCGCCGCGCCCGGGGGAGGGGGCTGCAGGTCCCGGGAGGGGTGGGGAGGCGCGGGGGCGGCGGGGGGCGCGGCGGGGCGGCAATCTCGGCCCCGCGGAGCGCTGCCCTTTTATGGAAATGAAGGACCCGGTGCCGGGATTGAATCCAACATCCGGGCTCTCGACTGCGGGCTCTGAGGAGGGGGAGCGGCGGAACGCGGGCGACCTTTCCCGGGGGCGCGGGTGGGCGGCGGGGCGGTGGGAGCTCGGGCTGGACTGGGCCCCCGCGGCGGGTGTCCGCGCTGGCAGCCGGGGGAGGGGGGCTTGTCCGTGAGAAACGGCCCCAGGAAATTCCCAGGGCAAGGTCGTTTTCGGGGAACAAAGTCCTCCCGCCCCCTCCCCACGCCTGGAGCCGGACCAAAAGTCTTGGAGCGGTGAGAGGTGCGGCACTCCGGGAGCTGGAGAGAGGACTCCGGGATGGAGAAACTTTAAAAAGTAAATGCCCAAACCAGCTCCTTGAACGTCCCACAAAAGAATGAGAAAACCGAGGGAGGTGAACCACGAAAACTGCTTTGCAAGCAGTGTCCGGCACCATCAGCAACTCCTACTGGACTCCCAGGAGTTTGCAAGCGTTCTTAACCCCTTCGGAAGCTTCCTCCGGCTGCAAGTTCAACAGATGATGCTCTTGCTATAGGGGAAAGGAAAGACACAACTTCGTTTCACGAGTTTTACTCGGAAACCGTTTCCCCAGCTTCTCGAGCTCTTTGTACGTATTTGTATATTTGTATAAGCAATTTAGAACTAACCGTCTATTCAAGCTGTTAGATGGAGATACATGCTCCACCCCAACCCCAGCCACACCCTGGATTTTAATACTTCTGGAACTGTGCCTGCAGGTACGGGGAAGAGCTAAACAACTTCACCTGCTGAAGACTGACTAGTGATGGAGAACGGTCCTCCTGCTTCCCGCTTTTGTTTCCACTTCCCCCATTAATGTCAAGGGGACTGCGTTCAGAAACAGCAAACCAGAGAAACTGCCTCGCTAGCAAATTAATGGGCTCAAAAAGTAAACGTCAAGAAGGCATAGATTAAAATACCTTTTCTTGATAAAAGACTACAGTTAGCGGTCTCATTGTACTGTCCCAAACGCTTGGAAAGGGAACCCACCAGGCAGATAACCTTTTGTTCATTAACATAACTGGGAAACAAGATAGGAGGCCTCAAGAAAGGGGTGGAACTCAGAAAGGAGTGAAAGCAGCAAAATTTAGTCAGATGCCAAAGGCTTGGCAGAAAAAAAAATTGGGAAAACCACTACAGTGTTTTTAACTAGTCATCATGGAGAAATTGATGCCTTGAGACTCTCTTCTCTCTACTTTCCAATTATTTTTACTCATGGATGTTCCAAATAGTTCACTTGAAAGCAATATGAATGTCCGGAGAGGAGGGAGTTTATGTAATATGGTGTTGAAAATATATAGGAAAATGTTTTTAATAAAATAAGGAATTGCTTGTTAGGGCACAAAACTGCGGAACTAGATATGCAGCTGTAAAATTACGAGCTTATTTATTTTTAAATGTTCAGAGAAAAAGACTAGAAGGAGATACAACAAAATTTTAAGAAGCTGTCTGGGTCTTGAAATCACCGGAGGTTCCCCCCCCCCCCATTCTTTATTTTCTACGAACTTGGGAACTTTACACCATCACCTAGAATTGTATCCAGCATTTCAGTTTCTCTGTACGTGCCATTATATTCACGATGATAGACACTGGAAAGAGCAGCTACTGACTGAACTATGGGCAGGATTTTCAGAAGTTTCTTTGGTATTTTTAAAAAATATATCTAAATAAATCTTGAGTTCTTTAAGAGCAGGGACTTCAAATTCTTTTCATTGTCCACAAATTCACAATAGCTTGAGACAGAGAAAATGGAAAACATGCTGGTGTTAGACCAACAAAATGTCAAAGAAACAGCGGGTCTGTTTTATGGAGAAATCTCAGGGGCCAGGTACAGTGGCTCATGCCTATAATCCCAGTACTCTGGGAGGCTGAGGCAGGAGGATTGCTTGAGCCTAGGAGGTGGAGGCTGCAGTGAGCTGTGTTTACACCACTGCACTCCAGCCTGGACGACAGAGTGAAACTCTATCTCAGAAAAACAAACAAACAAACAAACAAACAAATCTCAATGGGAATATCCCCACTTTAAAAATGTACTTATTTATTTCCCCCACCTTATCCCCCAAAAGATTTATGACAATGTATATGGATGCATAAACTGTGAGATAGCATACATTATAAGTGACACAAAACAAGAATAAAAAGGTGGGTGGCGGTTGGGAGGCTTAGAGGGATGGAGTAGAGATTATTTTTGAGTAGAGATTTAAAATGGAACTGGGAATCAAACTAAGAATTGCATCTTATGACCTTTGTACGTGCTCCAGTAAGCTGCAAAAAATTATGGCTTCTTAAACATGCCTTTCTAGAACCTAAAATATCTATGCCCTTTCTGAATATTCCCTTTTCTTCAGACAAAATTGTTGAAGCCGACTGTCATGACTCAGAAACTCTTTTAATACAGATGGTCCCTGACTTAATGATTTTTTTTTAGTTTACGATGGTGTGAAAGCTATATGCATTTAGTAGACACCATACTTTGAATACCCCAGGACTATTCTGTTTTTCACTTTCAGTAGAGTATTCAATAAATTATATGAGACAGTCAACAGTTTAATATAACATGGGCTTCATATTGGATCATTTTGCCCAACTGGAGGCTAATGTAAATGTTCTGAGTACATTTAAGACAGGCTAGGCTAAGCTGTGATGTTTGGTAGGTTACGTATATGCAATGCATTTTTTTGACTTACAATATTTTCAATTTACAGAAGGTAACCCCGTCGTAAGTTGTGGAGCATCTGTACTTGGTTTCCACATTCTAGTTATTTTCCCACTTTACAGTAAGAGTTACTTTCTAAACAATCTCTGCCACAGCACTGACTACTCTAACTACCATGCTTTCTTGACTCCAATTCTATCACTGTTCTTTACATTTAGTGACAGAGAGTGGGGGCGGGGAATTTTAATATTGCAAATGACTGCCCCATTTCTTAACATTTGAAATCGCTTAAGTTTAGCTTTATAAGACACTTTACTATCTTTAGAAAGTTAGCAGTATATGTTTGAGCAATTAATGCACAGAAAGGCAAGGACCCTGAGTTAAATACCAGTGGAAGAATAATTAGATTAGGATGGGTGCAGCTGGTCCCTTCAGGCCTTCTTTTTGAGTATTTCAAGCTGTTGCTTGCTTTGAAAATTAAAGAGGAGTCAGCCTCACCTCTCTGAAACTGGGATTTTTTTCCCCAGTTTATCAAGTGAGGCTTTTAAGTGCATTTCTTAAATATTTACTTCTACCTAAGATTTAGAATGTATTCAAATGTAGAATCTTATCTGAAATCCCCTGCTAGACCCACCAGGACAATGCAATGCTTGTGGTACTTACATCATACTAAAAAGTAGCTGAGTACGCCAGTGTTTGGAAGAACAGCTCAAGCATTGAAAGCAGTAATATCCAAATAAGGTACCAAGCACTGAACTTAGCTTTAGAGCAAGCGATGCCTCACAGATCTGCCGTCAAATGCAGCCCTCGGGCTTGGTAATGCTCAGGTTGACTTTAGCTTTTTCTCTGTTCCTTCTTACACTGTGCTTTATATTTCTAAAAGATCAATTCAAGATATAACCTCTGAGTTTGAAGAAGGAGAGAGGATGAGGATAGGAGAAAATAAGAGAGGGTTTGTACCAATGTGTGTAAGGTGGGGCTTAAAAATGTGACATAAGGCCAGCAAGATGAAATACAACGAATTATTGTCAAATCCAGGTGGGTAGAATTCTCTCTGTCTTGGAGATTGCCAAAAATGGCACACACCATTAAAGCTACTGAAGAGGTAGAAATCCAGGGGCATAGAGTGTGATCTAAACAGGAAGGGAGGTTGCAAAGGCCACTTCTTTGATAGAAATGGGCAGTCACCGTAATTAGTAAGAAAAGGACTGGCAAACAGAAACAAGGAAAATTTGCTAGGAATATGGCTGTTTTCACAGACCAAAGGAGAGCTCTGATGTAACAGTGAAATCTTTAAAGGGAAAGAAAAGTAGTATATTTACTACTCCTGTTACAGAAAGTTTTATATAGAAAACCATGGTTGGGGATACTTTTATTTCCCCCCAACTTAAGTTTGAACACCAGGACATCTTGTGAAATAGTTTTAACCTCAACAAAAATATCAAATGTTCACACACACAAATACATTAACGGTGTGTCTAGCACAGTGTAGGGCACTGAGACAGGCATGTAAATATATAACACATGTCAAAAATTCTTAAGGAATGTCTATCTAATGCAGGAGCCTTATATTTAAAACATCAGAAAGGACAGACACTGTGAAAGACATTAGTCCCCTACTTCACAACATATATGCAAATTAAAAATAGAGCATAGGCTTAAATGTAAGGTCTATAACTATAAAATTCCTAGACTAAAACATAGGACTAAACCTTTATGATCTTGGATTAGGCCATGGTTTCTTAGATAAGACATCAAGGCATAAGCAACAAAGGAAAAAATAAAGTTAAATTAGATTTTATCAAAGTTTAAAATAGTTATATTTCAAAGGACAGCAACAAAAATGTGAAAAAGCAATTTTTGCTTTTTCAAATGGGAAGACTATTTGCAAATCATATATCTTTTCAGTGACTTGTATCAAAAATAAATAAAGAGCTATTACAATTCAACAATAATATCAGACAGTGCAACTAAAAATGGGCAAAAAATATGAACAGACAGTTGTCCAAAGAAGACATACAAATGGCCACACGGAATATTCTCAACATCATTTATCAGCAGGGAAATGCAAATTAAGGTACAATGAGATAATACTTCACATCCTACTAAAAGGACTATAATAAAAAAAAGACTATAATAAAATACAAAAACAAGTGTTGGCTAGAATGTGGAACAACTGCAACCCCTATACGTTGCTGGTGGGAAAGCAAATGATAAGTGGCTTTGAAAAACAGTTTGGCAGTGCTTCAACAAATTAAACATAGAGTTACCATATATATATATATATAGTTACTTTATATAGTTATAGTATCTATAGTTAGCATTTACATAGTTACCATGGTCTGAATGTTTGTGTCCTCCCAAAATTCATATGTCAAAATCTTAACCCCCAAGATGATGATATTAAGAAATGGGGAAGGCCTGACACAGTGGCTCATGCCTATAATTTCAGCACTTTGGGAGGCCTAGGTGGGAGGTTCGCTTGAGCCTAGGAGTTTGAGACTAGCCTGGGCAACATGGTGAGATCATGTCTCTGCAAAAATAAAAGTAAAAAATTACCTGGACATGAAAGTGGGCATCTGTAGTCCTAGCTACTCAGGAGGCTGAGGTGGGAGGATCACTGGAGCTTAGGATTTTTTCTTTTCTTTTTTTTTTTTTTTTAAGACAAGATCTCACTCTGTCACCCAGGCTGGAGTGCAGTGGTACAATCTTGGCTTTCTGCAGCTCTGCCTCTTGGGCTCAGGTGATTCTCTTACCTCAGCCTCCCAAGTAGCTGGGACTACAGGCACATGCCACCATGCCTGGCTAATTTTTGTATTTTTAGTAAAGACAAGGTTTCACCATTTTGCCCAGGCTAGTCTTGAACTCCTGACCTCAAGTGATCCGCCTGTCTCAGCCTCCCAAAGTGCTGGGATTGTAGGTGTGAGTCATGGCACCTGGCCGAGTCCAGGAGTTTGAGGCTGCATTGAGCAGTGATCATGCCACTGAGCTCCAGCCTGGGTGAGAGTGAGGCCCTAAAAACAGATTTAAAAATTTTTTTGTTGTTTTTATTTGACTCTAAAAACAAACTTTAAAATTTTTTTTAAATTAAAAACAGAGGTGTGGGCCTTTGATTAGATCATTAATCTCTTTAACAAGGGGGTAGCACCCTTATAAAAGAGGCCTAAAGGAGCTCATTTGTTCCTTCCATCACGTTAGGACACAGCTGGAAGGTGCCAGCTATGAACTAGAAAGCAGCCCTCACCAGACACAATTCTGCTGGACTCTTGATCTTGGACTTTCCAGCCTCCAGAAATGTGGGAAGCAGACTTCTATTGTTTATAAGCTACCCAGTTTGTGGTATTTGGTTGTAGCAGCACAAACAGATTAAGACACCACATAATCCACCAGTTCTACTCTTAGGTATATGCATAAGAGAATTGAAGACATATGCCACATAAAAACTTGAACATACATGAATATTCATAATGTCTAAAACATGAAAACAACCCAAATGTCTTTCAAGTAGTGAACAGATAAAGAAAATATGGTATACTTATACACTGAAATATTGTTTGGCCAGGTGTGGTGGCTCACACTTGTAATCCCAGCACTTTGGGAGGCCGAGGTGGGAGGATCACCTGAGGTCAGGAGTTCGAGACCAGCCTGATCAAAAAGTGAAACCACGTTTCTAGTAAAAATACACAATTATTTGAAGTCGCATGCCTGTAATCCTAGCTACTCGGGAGGCTGAGATAGGAGAATCCCTTGAACTCAGGAGGCCGAGGTTGCCGTGAGCTGAGATTGCACCATTGCATTCTGGCATGGGCAACAAGAGTGAAACTCCATCTTGAAAGAAAGAAAGAAAGGAGGGAGGGAGGGAAGGAAGGAAAGGAAGGAAGAAAGAGAGAGAGAGAGGAAGGAAGGAGGGAAAGAAAGAAAGGATGGAAGGAAGAGAGAGAGAGAAGAAAAGAAAAGAGGGAGGGGAGAGAGAAGACTGTTTAACCTAAGAAAAGAATTAAGTACCAATACATGCCACAAAATGGATAAAC